TCCTACTCCTGGTTTAAGTGGTATAAAAACTTAAAGGATCTGTTAATGTTTCCTCCAGTGCATTTCCTATATGCACAATTAACTATGGTATCTTGTTAGTAAAAAAAAAAAAAAGGTTTATCAAATTATTGACACATGGACACACTGAGATGGACACAGCAACATGATAATTTTGACATATTTCTCTATTTGTCGCCGTTTCTAAGCCAACTTACACCATCTTGTGGAGACAGAACAGAGGAGGGCCAAATTCACACCATAATTGAAAGATATGATGCTGTCACAGCAAAGATAAAAGGTCATCCAAACGTGCCCAGTGGCCAGGAGTACAGATAGGGTACTGTAGTTTAGGTGTTGCTTGCATTCTACACCAAATGAGTTTAAAGATTTGTGGAAGAGTAAAATACTCACAGTAGAAGATGAGATTGAGTGCATTTCTAATGTGAAAATGTGCACAACATCAGCATTCAGCACACAGTAAAAGACAGGTTTGAAATTCTCACCGGAGAATCATAGCCTCTCAGATATCACAAGTCAAACAAGAATACATTATATATTAATAAATTGTATTGTCACATACACCAGATAGGTGCAGTGAAATGTGTTGTTTTTACAGGGTCAGCCAGAGTAGTATGACGCCCCTGGAGCAAATTAGGGCTAAGTGCCTTGTTCAATGGCAAATAGACAGATTTTTCCCCTTGTTGGCTTGGGTGTTCAAACCAGCGACCTTTCGGTTACTGCCCCAACGCTCTAACCGCTAGGCTACCTGTTGCCCTTGTATAATGTAACCCGGTGGAAGATTGAATTACTTGCAGACAGTGTACAGACAGTATATTCTGAATCAGGAGAGTCACAAGGCAAAACGAACAGCTAAAAACAGACACAATGAAACCAATGAGGAGCTTTAGGCGCCACCATGTGGATAAATATGACAATCGCCTTGAGATTTTCCATTCATTCATAAGTGTATAATGATCCATCTCCATCATTAGGAGTTCATTCTGAATTAGTAGCCCTGTGTACAAGCTACAGAAAACAAAATAAGTTGCCCTACAGCAGAGTGAGAGGGAAATAAAACATTTCAGCCACCCAGGGCTGTGCGTTTGTCTTTTGTCTGGACAGAAGGGTTTCTAATGAGTTCCAGATGCATTTGGTGGGGTTCCCTCACTTGGGAGCACAGAGACTCTGAAATAGCACACAGAAACAATGAGATTCTGGGGAGATCATGTACACGAAAAATGTTGGAAGTTTTTACAACCAAAATAGAACATTAGTGAATTGACAAATGGAAGATACTGTACTAGCTAGTATGACGTAGTGCTATGTGTGTGACACTCTGGCTCCATGGACTTTATTATTGAGCCAGGGTTGTTCATTTCCTTGGTTGGGTGTATTTCTATGTTGGGTATTCTGGTTGTTTCATTTCTATGTGTGGTGATTGTTCGTGTTTATTCAGGTGACTCCCAATCGGAGGTAACGAGTGACAGCTGTCGGCTCGTTATCTCTGATTGGGAGCCATATTTATACTGTGTGTGTTCACCTGGGTTTTGTGGGTTTTTGTTTCCTTGATCCTGTTTAGTCAGTGTCAGAGTTGGACTTCACTTTCGTCATTTTGGTTTGTTGTTTTTATCGTGGTTTCTTTAATTAAATAAAGTCTACGATGTTCGCTCAACACGCTGCGCTTTGGTCTCCTCCTTTCGACGATCGTGACAGAAAAACCCACCAAAGAAAGACCAAGCAGCGTGTCCAGGAGCAAGGTGACTGGACATGGGAGGAGGCGCCGGGCAAGGAGATGGAGAGGCTGGCGATGGCCCAGGTGGGCACAGCGTGGTCCTGGGAGGACATGCTCGGAGGCAAGGGACCTTGGGGGAAGATCAAGGCCCTGGCGAGAGAGGAGCATCGGCGGCAGCAGGTTCATCGTCGGAGGGTCGTGAGTCAACCCCAGAAATTTTTTAGGGGGGGGCACATGGCTTGGGCGACTGGGCAGCAGGAGGCTGCCAGAGGGCTGAAGGAGGAGAAAAGGGGGCGGATTCAGGAGGCCACCAGGCCAGGGGTACACCGCCCTGTACGTCCTGTGCGGATGCCTCACACAGAGTGTGTGAGGGTAGGCATTCAGCCAGGACGGGTGGTGGCCGCTATTCACTCCAGGCCTCCTATCCGTCTCCACAGCCCGGTTCGGCCTGTTCCTGCTCCACGCACCAGGGATACGGTGCGCTTCGCCAGCCCGGCTCGGCCTGTTCCGGCCACCCGCACCAGGGATACGGTGCGCGTCGCCAGCCCAGCCCGGCCTGTTCCTGTTCCACGCACCAGGGATACGGTGCGCTTCGCCAGCCCGGCCCGGCCTGTTCCGGCCACCCGCACCAGGGAGACGGTGCGCGTCGCCAGCCCAGCCCGGCCTGTTCCTGCTCCCCGCACTAGGCCTTATGAGAGTCCCCAGGGTCCAGCATGCCCTGTTCCGGCTCTCCGCACTAGCCCTTATGTGCGTCCCCAGGGTCCAGCATACCCTGTTGCTGCTTCCCGCACTAGCCCTGAGATGCGTGTCCTCAACCCGGTACCTCCAGTTCCGGCACCACGCATCAGGCCTACGGTGCGTCCCCAGGGCCAAGCATGCCCTGTTGCTTCTCCCCGCACTAGCCCTGAGATGCGTGTCCTCAGCCCGGTACCTCCTGTTCCGGCACCACGCACCAGGCCTAAAATGCGCCTCAGACGGCCAGAGTCTGCCGTCTGCCCAACGGGGCCTGAACTGTCCGTCTGCCCAACGCCGTCTGAACTGCCCGTCTGCCCAACGGCGCCTGAACTGCCCGTCTGCCCAACGCCGTCTGAACTGTCCGTCTGCCAAGCGCCGCAGGAGCTGCCCGTCGGTACTGAGCCTGCAAAGCCGCCCGTCTGCCATGAGCCTTCAGAGCCGTCCGCCAGACCGGAGCCGCTAGAGCTCTCCGCCAGACAGGAGCAGCCAGAGCCTTCCGCCAGACAGGATCAGCCAGAGCCTTCCGCCAGACAGGATCAGCCAGAGCCTTCCGCCAGACAGGATCAGCCAGAGCCTTCCGCCAGACAGGATCAGCCAGAGCCTTCCGCCAGACAGGATCAGCCAGAGCCTTCCGCCAGACAGGATCAGCCAGAGCCTTCCGCCAGACAGGATCAGCCAGAGCCTTCCGCCAGACAGGATCAGCCAGAGCCTTCCGCCAGACAGGATCAGCCAGAGCCTTCCGCCAGACAGGATCAGCCAGAGCCTTCCGCCAGACAGGATCAGCCAGAGCCTTCCGCCAGCCAGGATCCGCCAGAGCCGTCCAGCCAGGATCCGCCAGAGCCGTCCAGCCAGGATCCGCCAGAGCCGTCCAGCCAGGATCCGCCAGAGCCAGCTAGTCAGGTACTGTCCCTTAGCCCGGTGCGGCCCCTTAGTCCAGGGCTGCCCCTTAGTCCGGTGCTGCCCCTTAGTCCGGTGCCGCCCCTTAATCCAGTGGGGTTTAGTTGGGGGGTGGTCATGCGGAAGGGGCTACGGAAGCGGATAGTGACTAAGGTGGGGTGGGGACCACGACCTGGGCCAGAGCCGCCACCATGGACAGACGCCCACCCAGACCCTCCCCTAGACTGTATGCTGGTGCGCCCGGAGTGCGCACCTTTAGGGGGGGGTACTGTGACACTCTGGCTCCATGGACTTTATTATTGAGCCAGGGTTGTTCATTTCCTTGGTTGGGTGTATTTCTATGTTGGGTATTCTGGTTGTTTCATTTCTATGTGTGGTGATTGTTCGTGTTTATTCAGGTGACTCCCAATCGGAGGTAACGAGTGACAGCTGTCGGCTCGTTATCTCTGATTGGGAGCCATATTTATACTGTGTGTGTTCACCTGGGTTTTGTGGGTTTTTGTTTCCTTGATCCTGTTTAGTCAGTGTCAGAGTTGGACTTCACTTTCGTCATTTTGGTTTGTTGTTTTTATCGTGGTTTCTTTAATTAAATAAAGTCTACGATGTTCGCTCAACACGCTGCGCTTTGGTCTCCTCCTTTCGACGATCGTGACAATGTGATTATGTTGTTGATATTTCATATCCTCCATTAACAATTTGAATGTATGGAAGAAAGTGGAAATATGTCTTAAATGAATACGGTATAAGAATGTCTTAAAGAACATCTTACATTTTTAATGGGACTACAAGTCCTTCCATAATTGATAATGCATACTGTAGATGAGGTATGTGTACTGACATAAAACCCACAAAGTAATCTCCATTATGTTTACCATGAACACACTTTATTCATCATGTCATAGCGATGCATTATTTCATTGAAAACAAACAGATAAAAAGGAAATGTTACAGTTTGAAACTCCTATCACATTCTACATTAAGCTGTAACCTAATATCATAACATTCTATTCAACATTTAAATAGAAACACAAAAATCACACGTCTACATTAGTTTCCTGCCATTCTGAGATGGTTATTTAAAGTGGTGTAGCATACTAGCATGCACTGTGAGTAGGCAAAAGGAAAATATAGCTTTACTGGACATCAAAATCACTGAGGAGAGAACTGAAATCTCATTGACTGTGTTACTCGATAACAAAGGTCTATTTTAAAAGCCTTGCATTGAGCATCCCATTGGTCATCCATGTCATTATGTGCTCCTATAGCATACAAAACAGTCTACTATTAGAAAGCACATGGTACATTTAAGAGCTAATAGGCCTAACCCTTAAGGAGATATAGTAATATTAGTCTTCCTGCATGTCTCTTTTCATATGTGGAAAAGGGGGTACATTGTTGTATTACAGTTGTAGCAATAGGATAGATTTGGATACATTAGCATTTACATGGCACTTTGATGACACTATTAAACAGGTACCTTATGTTATTGGTTCTGAATAAATACACAAAGGCATGAATAAATACATACAATAATTCTCATTCTGAGTGGGCGGTTCAATTCCAGTTTAATTCAGCACCAAGTGCTGTTTTTATTTTGCTCACACACACATGCATATGCCGTGTGCACATTCACTCACACAAACACACACACACAGTTAGCTGAGGGTGTGCCAGCCAACATAATTTGAGCACAATTCCTTTATTTGCCAAATGTCAGAATTCAATTAAATGGGGTGTTTCATCTGATCTGAGAATTCTCTTTGAGATCTATAATTTCTAGAGTGTATTTGCTTCTCTTAGGTGATAGTTGCTTTACAAAGTTGATATCAGTGATTATCATCAAAGGTGAACACTGGTAGCCATTGTCTCCTGCAGCGTTCACAAGATAGCTTTCAAAGCATTTTGAACATCTCCATACCTTTTCTCTCTCTGTAAGTCACAAATTAATTCCAAGAGTAGGTAAGAGAATGAGGAAATGTTTTATTCACCTTGAATTTGAATCCCTGTGTGTCCTTTATTTTTTATCCCTTGACATCAAAAGCCTGGAAGGCTTTCTTCACACATTCACCTGTTCTCCTTGACTCCCTCACAGGCAGATCTAAGTAACAACATTTAATAGTTACACTGTCCATTAAATAAGCCTTAAGCAATTGCATTGTCAAATACAAAATGATAGATACAAGAAGGTGGTGACAACTTGATCTCCACACTCTTAGTGAGATTTAACAATGGTCACTAGGGATCTAGAAAATCTGTATTCTATGCAGAGACAAGCACAACAGGCTAAGATCTGATGGTCGGACTTGTTATTGAAACTAGAAATTCTGACGGGACAAATATGTTGTGAAGGGATGGTGCCATGTGTGTATAAAAAATCTGGTGTGTGTGTTGGTGTGTTTCTGTTCCCCTCTTTTACTGAGGGAGATTTTTACGAAATGGTTACCCTAGAAACCAGAGAGCCGATCCCATTGGTCCCCTAAAGTGATGTCTTGTTGAGGTCAACCTTGACTGGCAGTGGTCCCGCTTCCTCGCTCTCCTCTGGTTGGTCGATGGCTACAGCAATCACAGGGGTCAGAAGGTAGGGGTTGACCTTCTGGACGTCATCCAGAAACTCCTTGTCTCCGTTGATGCTCAGCTGGAAAAAGGAATCAGTTATTCATTCAAATTGATAGAAATGTTCCCATTGTCTCTAGGCCTAATTCCCTCTCAGGCAAACACATGTTAAAGCTGGAATCAGTAATGGTGAAACTGCCACATCCATTTGCGATCTTACAACAACAAAGAAATTACTTCAAACAATAAAAAATGTTTGTTTCCCTAGGACATCATGCACACCATTGGATGCGCGATAGAACAGCAGAGTATGAATTGCAATTTTTCTATCAGGATGCTGGATGCTACTCTCCTCCATTTCATTAACAAAACAAAAACAATAACAAATGTTTGGTGGCTCTGTTTCCCCTAATGCAGATTCCAGCTTTAAAGTAACACTTCAGTGAGTTAACAATTAATCTAACAAATGGGAAATTAAGTTACATAGACGGTTAGCTATTTTTCATCTAAAAGACAGAGTTTGCCAATATGACACAGGTTTTTCGTGATGCTGTTCTGGTGCTGTGTTTACCTGTGTTGTGATGTGCTGTTCTGGTGCTGTGTTTACCTGTGTTGTCCCCCCCCCCCCCCTCCCTCTCTGTGGATGACTTTGTCAACCACTTTGAAAAGAAGGTTGACGACATCCGATCCTCGTTTGTTAAGTCTAATGACACTGCTGGTCCTGCTCACACTGCCCTACCCTATGCTTTGACTTCTTTCTCCCCTCTCTCTCCAGATAAAATCTTGCGACTAGTGACTGCAGGCCGCCCAACAACCTGCCCGCTTGACCCCATCCCCTCCTCTCTTCTCCAGACCATCTCCGGTGACCTTCTCCCCTACCTCACCTCGCTGATCAACTCATCCTTGACCGCTGGCCATGTCCCTTCCGTCTTCAAGAGAGCGAGAGTTGCACCCCTTCTCAAAAAACCAACACTCGATCCCACTGATGTCAACAACTACAGACCAGTATCCCTTCTTTCTTTTCTTTCCAAAACTATTGAGCGTGCCGTCTTTAGCCAACTCTCTTGCTATCTCTCTCAGAATGACCTTCTTGATCCAAACCAGTCAGGTTTCAGGACTGGTCATTCAACTGAGACTGCTCTTCTCTGTGTCACGGAGGCTCTCCGCACTGCTAAAGCTAACTCTCTCTCCTCTGCTCTTGTCCTTCTAGACCTGTCTGCTGCCTTTGATACAGTGAACCATCAGATCCTCCTCTCCACCCTCTCCGAGCTGGGCATCTCCGGCGCGGCTCACTCCTGGATTGCGTCCTACCTGACCGGTCGCTCCTACCAAGTGGCGTGGCGAGAAGCTGTCTCCGCACCACGTGCTCTCACCACTGGTGTCCCCCAGGGCTCAGTTCTAGGCCCTCTCCTTTTCTCCCTATACACCAAGTCACTTGGCTCTGTCATATCCTCACATGGCCTCTCCTATCATTGCTACGCTGACGATACACAACTAATCTTCTCCTTTCCCCCTTCTGATAACCAGGTGGCGAATCGCATCTCTGCATGTCTGGCCGACATATCAGTATGGATGACGGATCACCACCTCAAGCTGAACCCTGGCAAGACGGAGCTGCTCTTCCTCCCGGGGAAGGACTGCCCGTTCCATGATCTCGCCATCACGGTTGACAACTCCGTTGTGTCCTCCTCCCAGAGTGCGAAGAGCCTTGGCGTGACCCTGGACAACACCCTGTCGTTCTCCGCTAACATCAAGGCGGTGACCCGATCCTGCAGGTTCATGCTCTACAACATTCGGAGAGTACGACCCTGCCTTACACAGGAAGGGGCACAGGTCCTAATCCAGGCACTTGTCATCTCCCGTCTGGATTACTGCAACTCGCTGTTGGCTGGGCTCCCTGCCTGTGCCATTAAACCCCTACAACTCATCCAGAATGCCGCAGCCCGTCTGGTGTTCAACCTTCCCAAGTTCTCTCACGTCACCCCCCTCCTCCGCACACTCCACTGGCTTCCAGTTGAAGCTCGCATCCGTTACAAGACCATGGTGCTTGCCTATGGAGCAGTGAGGGGAACGGCACCTCCGTACCTTCAGGCTCTGATCAGTCCCTACACCCAAACGAGGGCATTGCGTTCATCCACCTCTGGCCTGCTGGCTCCCCTTCCTCTGCGGAAGCATAGTTCCCGCTCAGCCCAGTCAAAACTGTTCGCTGCTCTGGCACCCCAATGGTGGAACAAGCTCCCTCACGACGCCAGGACAGCGGAGTCACTCACCACCTTCCGGAGACATTTGAAACCCCACCTCTTTAAGGAACACCTGGGATAGGATAAAGTAATCCTTCTACCCCCCCCCAAAAAAAAAAATTGTATAATTGTAAAGTGGTTATCCCACTGGCTATAGGGTGAATGCACCAATTTGTAGTCGCTCTGGATAAGAGCGTCTGCTAAATGACGTAAATGTGCCCTTGAGCAAGGCACTTAACCCTAATTGCTCCTGTAAGTCGCTCTGGATAAGAGCGTCTGCTAAATGACTAAAATGTAAAAATGTAAATGTTGTGATGTGCTGTTCTGGTGCTGTGTTTACCTGTGTTGTGATGTGCTGTTCTGGTGCTCTGTTTTGATGTGCTGTTCTGGTGCTGTGTTTACCTGTGTTTTGATGTGCTGTTCTGGTGCTGTGTTTACCTGTGTTGTGATGTGCTGTTCTGGTGCTCTGTTTTGATGTGCTGTTCTGGTGCTGTGTTTACCTGTGTTTTGATGTGCTGTTCTGGTGCTGTGTTTACCTCTGTTGTGATGTGCTGTTCTGGTGCAGTGACCAGGCTGGCACAGCTCAGCCACAACATCACCATGATGGACAGGAAGAGACAGGCAGCCAGGATCCAACGAGGCAGCCCAGAGCGCCTGAGAGAAAGGGGAGGGTTAGGTGATGATACAGGTCCTACAACTCAGAGGGCCTCTAAATCAGAGAGCACCAAATGGGTGGATTTGGGCAGACGACTGTTCTTCTTCAATATTTTTTGTCACCTTGACATGCAACCCAGGAAGTCATGCTCAATGGTGGGGTCCTCTGTATGTTGCTGGACTGCTGGGTGCTTCCCCTTGCCTCCCGCCTTGGCTGCTCCCTTCTCCCCATGTCCTTTCACACCTGCACATAGGTGAACACTTTGTGAGGAAGTGTAACAAATGTAACCTAATTTCACCCCTCTGGAGATCAATAAAGCATATTCAATTCAATGTAATCCTCCTTTAATGCATTGTATACTATATACCCTACAGGTCTTATTATGATTTGTACATTATGGGTCTCGGTGTGTAACAGAGCTGCATGCCACAACGCTGCATGCGGTTGGTGTCTCACCATGGGGTCTCTGTGTGTGGGAGTGGACCTGTGGCCAAGGCTTGTCTGCCACATTGGAGCGGGGAGCCTGCAGCTCCGGCAGAGTGTACTCGATCTCCGGTTGGCTCTGGTAGGAACAACAAACAAAGTCATTTCAGGCACTAGTAATTACACACAGTAATTCAATGAAAAAGTGACAGAAAAATGTATGTTTTACACAGAGAGGTTAGACCATAATGAAGTCTGGACTAAGAATACTCAATGAACAGCTAAACACGACAGGGAGAAATACACACAACTGCAGACTTAGATATAGAGAATACTGCCACATGAACTCAAACAAAGAGAGGACTCAATGATTATAGGAGAACATTGCATTTTTACAAAATGTGTGCCGTTGCAAGCCAGGCACTGTGTACCTCAGCCATCTGTCAAATTAAGCCAGATAGACTTCCAAACTACCAAACAGTACAAAACAGTACTTCCAAACTACCAAACAGTACAAAAATAAAACCACTTAATCACACCTTATAATGGCTGTTCAGGTGGCTCTGAGCCCTCCTGAGGTGTCGATTGTATAGAGCAGATTGTATAGATTGTTCTTTGGCACACAGGTGGAGTTTTAAATCAGCATTTCTTTCTCTCTAACTTCATTAAAGGACTCCCTGGTTGCCCATTGCTGAGTCTGTCCTGGTTGGCTGCTCAAGAGCCCCCCCATTCACTCTCTCTGAGGGGAGTGAAAAGGTCACTTGACTGGAGAACGTGTCTGTGAAAAGAGGCCTTAAAAACAGCAATTGTGCACTACAGTATGTGAGCGAAAGTAAATAACTTAGAGTGAAGACAGGGTTAATCCCTATGTCTATACACACACACATTCAAGTAGGCGCGCACACACACACACACACACACACACACACATTGACCCAGCTCTGTCAGCAGAGGCATGATTGTGCCTTTCAATATGGAGACTGCGTTTCTGGCTCCCCCTGGAGAACTCATTAAAATAGGATTTTGGTTACCCTCTACTGAACCTTTCCCAATAACAAGATGTGAAGACAGGGGAAGTCATTTTTTAAAATAAAAAAAAGGTAAATTAAGTCATACAATCAAAATCTTGACACACAGGTCCATGCATAGTTATGAAAACTGAAAAGAAAATGTACCAATCAGCGTTTGAATAGTCTACGGGTCAATGAATTTGAGATAAGAGTCTAAACACATCTCAAACAAAGAGAAAACGAAGAAAGCAGAAAATAAGTTGGTCAGATGTAGTTATTTAACTGAGATGACCTATGTGGTAGAGAATAAGGCTTGGTCTTACAAAAGGTCATAGATATTCAAGTCATTTCACAACCAGTTTTATCGACGCCAATGATTTTACGGAGTGCATTGGATCCAGGTGTAATATTGGGGGGAAAGGCAATGGGAAGAGAAGAGTGAACATCTGAGGATGTTAGTAGTTATTGGCTACAGACTAGAAATCTGTATCAGTAAACGTAGGCCTGCCTCCTGATGTACATCTGTCATGCATTATGCCACAGAATGCCAAAGGTGCTCTGGCTATAGAGGCACAAAGAGCAACAGGGAGGAGGGATCATTTTCCAATGTAACAATCTCCCTTCCCTTATTTGGTATTTTTGGGTTATTTGGGCTCACTTTCTTCTTAGGGAGGGGGATGTCATAGAGGTAGTATATATGTATGTCCCTGTTCCTTCAAGGGGACCCTGCATCATGTGAATGTTGGACGCGGATGGAATTGAAACAAGACTCCAACCCCTTTTCCAAACAAGCGCTCTACCCCAATCAGTGATGAGAGGGGCCTGTCGGCTGTGTTTACTCCCTCTCAGCCCAGAGGAAACAGCTTGATTTTCCCTGATTACCTTGGAGGAGCACTCCTGAAACACTGGGAGGCTAGGATGGCATGAAAAAGCAGGATTAAGAAGGAGGCTGCCACTTAACCCATGTCAAATGTGGGCAGGAGAGGGATGGATGTTCCCCGAGCTGGAGCACAGCCCATTGTCTGAGATACAGCTAAAGGGAGCTGAGGAAGGGAGAATCTGCCACTTGTGGGACTGGGACTCAAACCGCCTCCCTCAGACACAGGTGGCTTGCCTGGAGCAATCAGAGAAGCTGCTTTGATCACAGTTGCATCCAAACACACAACCTTTTGGAAATATGAGTGGGTAACCCACATTGATATAGAACCCAGATGGTTTATGTGTGCTATGTTAGCCTTCTAAATGTAATGGACCGGGTATCAATCTTCAGACGTTTGTGTGACTCAAGACCACATTAGCCCTGTGAGCTAAAGCCTAAATAGCTTTTGAAATAGAGTCTCAGTTCTTTTGAAAGTCGTTTTGGGAATCACCTTCGCACATCACATAGCAAAATACACCTACATATATTTGCTCCTAAGTGAAGTAAAAGTCTTATTTCTTCAAATGACTGATTAACTAAAGGAGAGCACAAGCAATTCCACTGTGAACTGATTCAAATAGAAATCACTTGGCCCAAATAAACTCGTTATACTGAACACTGCATGAAGACCAAGTGTAATTTATTCCACAAGGTGGCTCTCTCACTAACTCTTGAAAACTCATAGGAACTTGCTAATACATTTATTTTTGTCCGATTCACTTCAACTCCAGTAGTGCACTGTGTTGCCTTTGAATGGCCCTTTTTGAGAACTTAGTAAAACTGCTACATTATGTGGACAAACCGCTACCACAGTGGGTCTCCTAACGTTTCCTGTTTGTTTTGTATCACGCCTAAGGCTACAAGTCACCATAGCTTATTGCACTAAGTCCAGCCGTGCACCTGGTGATTGGATGGGTTACCAGTGGTGCACGGTGGGGACGGCTCCTGAGTCACACCTGGGCGGGCTGGGGGTCCATGGCCGGGTTGGGGGAGACCCCCAGGGGGGGCCAAACACCCCCCAGCCGTGCACCTGGTGATTGGACGGTTTTCACTACGGGAACCTGGGGACGGCTCCTGAGTCACACATGGGCGGGCTGAGGGTCCATGGCTGGGTTGGGGGAGACCCCCAGCGGGGGCCACACCCCCCCCCACCCGGATTCGTCCGCAAGGGGGTGCCACCTGTCATTTTAGGACGGTTTTCACTACGGGCTCCTAGGGAGTCCATACACCCTGACATCCTACTCAGCCATCTGCTCTGCAGAACCCACTCATTCTGAACGTCTGCAGTAGTGATTTGTATTGCAGCGGTGGCTTGTCTTCTCTTTCAGCTGTCCCTCAGCCTTAGTGCTTTTCTGTTGTTTCTTTACCCCCAGTCAATCCGTCAAGAGGGTGGGAGCCAGCCAGTTGCCCACTAAACACAGGCCTGCTAGCCAGCTCAGAGCCTGTGGAGCCTGCTCTCGCCTCTGCTAGCATGTGACTTCCATAAAACACAACCATCCATAACCCCTAAGGCTAAAGAAAGAAATCGCACGAAGATTGCTGCCTTTTTATTACTGGATTTACAGATCTCGGTTGTCCTTCTCTATAGATTCAGCCAGCCTGTCTTGACTTAGCCGTCACTGATCAAGTAAACGATGTACAGTACTGATCCCACGCCCTTTTCATCCTGATGTTTGAGTTGAGTTCACCTCTGTTGCCCCCAAGGTTTGAATTACAGCTGTACCCCCTATAGTCACAGTGTAACTTGAGTCCTGACAGTGTCTCACCTGGAAGACAACCACCTTGCCGTCGTCGGCCTGCAGGTAGAAGGTCCAGGTAGAGGAGATGAAGCTCTGAGCAGAGCTGACGATGTCGTTAAACCAGCTCGACACGGTGTCCATGACAGAGGGGGGCTTGGGACGGTGGGCCATGGCCTTCAGCTGCAGGGAACAACAGGTTGAACTGTCTGAGCCTAGGTGCCATTATTTACTCTGGCAAAAAAGTAATTGTGTGTGTGTGTGTGTGTGAGTGTGTGTGTGTGGCCTACTGAATGACCATGCTAACCTTCCTCCTCAAAAAAAGGGGGGAAAGGCCCCCCCGGGGCCAAGGGGGGAGAAACCCTGGGGGAGGGAAAAAACCCCAAAAAACCCCGCAGAAAAAAGGGGAGGGGGGGGGGAAGGGGGAAACCCCCCCCCCGAGGGGGGGAAAAAACCCCGGGGGGGGGAAAACGGGAGGGGGCCCGGGGGGGAATAAAAAAAACCCAAAAAGGGGAAAAAAAAGGGGGGGGGAAAAAAAAGGAAAAAAGGAAAAATGGGCCCAAAGAGGGGGAAAAGGAAAAAGGGGGGAAAAAAAAAAAAGGGGAAAAAATTGGGGGGGGGGAAAGGGCAAGGGAACAAGGAAAAAAAAGGGGAAAACCCCCCTGGGCCCCGGGGCCGGGGGAAAATGGGGGAGAAACCGACGGGAAAAAACCCCCCAAAAGGGGGGAACTAAAAAAAGGGAAAAAGGAAGGGGAGGGGGGAAAAAGGCCGGGGGGGGTTTTGGGGGTTGGAAAAGGGGGGGGGGGGGAAAAAAAATCGGGCCCCGGGAGGGGGGGAAGGGCCCCCGGCAGCCCCCCTTTTTTTCCCTATCCGGGAAGGGGGGGGGAAAAAAGAGAGGGGAGGAGGGAGGGGGGGGGGAAAAAAAGGGAGGGAAAAAAGGGGGGGAAAAAGAGGGGGTTTGGGGGAGCAAAAAGGGGAGAGGGGAAAAAAACGGGGGGGGAAAAGGAGACCCAAAAAAAAAGGGTTTTTTTTTAGGAAACCCAAAAATTTCTTTAAAAAAATTTTTTTAAAATTTTTTACCCCCCCCAAAAAAAAAATTTTTTTTTTTTTTTAAAAAATTTTTTTTTAAAAAATTAAGGGAGGCCCCCCCCCCCCCCCCCCCCCCCCCCCCGGGGGGGGGGCCCTAAAAAAAAGGGGGGGGGGGGGGGGGGGGGGGGGGGGGAAAAAAAAAAAAAAAAAACCCCCCCCGGGGGGGGAAAAAAAAAAAAAAAAAAAAAAAAAAACCCCCCCCCCCGGGGGGGGGAAAAAAGGGGGGGGGCGCAGTCGGCCTCGAGACGAGGGGGGAGAGGGAGAGGGAGGAGAGAGAGAGAGGGGTCTTTCCTCGTTTTTTCTCGAGAGAGGAGAGAGAAGAGGGGGGAGAAGAGAGAAAGACGGGAGAGATGGCTCTCTCTTTCCCAGGGGATGGAAAAGACAACCGCATCTGTTAGTCATTGCATCCCTATTCACCCCTCCCTACAGTCATCAATATCAGAACATTTGAGCATCTACTGCCGGGACCAGGGAGGACAGCAGATCACAGGATTGATTTTCAATAAACAAGCCACCCAACTGGGTGAACAGTTTAAATTGAGACACACACACAGGGTTCCATTAATGTCATGTTAGCCCGGGTACAGGCACATGATAGGCCGCGAGGTCGAATCAAGTGCTTTCTGGCCTTAAAGCACAGCTTGGATTTTTCTGTGCAAAGACTAAACCCAGGCCAGGGCCAAAATCATGTAACAGTACATGACAAAATCTTGAAGTGGATCACAGGTAGAATTGAATACACCCCTGCTCTTGGTGATAGGCTGCAGTGTAATAGACTGCCCTGTAGTATCGGCCTCATTGAGACCCCACCCAGTGAGTCAGGCTGCCTTACCTCCTTGACACTCCTCCCTGCTGGTGTTGAAGCCAGCATTGCCATTCACAAATTGACAGATGGAGTAGAGACGGCAACCACGGTGACAGGCATTCAGTATGGAGTCCTTCAGGAGAGAGAAAAATATAGGAGCTAATTATGGCTATTCAAACAAAGCAGATATCCTTAAAGGGAATGAGATATTGTCCTGGATGTGTGTGTGATTAATTAGATAGGCAATTAGATATGCCTATACCACAGAGATATTTCAATTTGGATAATGGCACAGATTAAATATTTTAAATGAGGTGAGGAATTATTGGTCTTAGATGCACACATGGAAAATACTGCAAATGGTGCCAGGGAATGTTGTGATGAGTGAAGAATAACAATCACTTGGTCACAGTTTTCGCCAAGCCTGGTTCTACTGCAGAATAACAAAACAGCGCCCCCAAGCGACTGACACAGGAACGTGAGCGACAAAGAGATCCCCCTATCCGAACATCAACGGTTTACAGGCGTATTACAGTGTCATGCGTGTCATTCTTTCGATTTACTGCGTTCTTCCCTGTTCGTTGTGGGTCTAGCGGGATTTTATTCTGACCCAGGATTCACGGTTCCTTTTTATAGGTATTTATTTGCTTACTACACAGTGGCAATTATAGTCCCATGAATAAAATAAACTCTGAACATTGTTCAAGCACTGACTATTTGTGACTAATGTGTTGTTCAAATAATACGCGCACATCAAAGGCATACTTTAGGGCCTATAAACTGGTGCAGTGTTCTGAAAACAGGTGATACCGCATAGTTCACTGTGATCCATTTTGCTGCTCTGCTCTGTACTGCCCTGCATGATGTCTGAACCACACCTGAGCTGAGCGGTGACGATGATGAGTAGTTGGGAAAATAATAGCCTGGCCGAGGGATTTACCGTTTTGGGCTATAGACACGAATCATCCATTAGCCTACTTACAGGCTATAAGTATTTTTCAAATTGTACATTATTTAAGATTATTCAAACATGGATATTCTAATCAATTAGATATTATTTACATATCCTGCATATTGCTGTTCATGGACAAATAATTGCAAGTGGCAATAGGCTCTATTGGAGAATGCCATGTTTGGTCTGGTGCCCTCACAACAATTTTACGACTGGGTTTTCTATGAACATCCAGGCGTTTTCTAATGAATGTGTAAAGCAATCCAGAGGAAGTAGGTGGAGTAGGCTATATGGATATAATGGAGTATCAGAGCTGTGGAAAGCATAACAATTAGATAAGTCATAAAACGATATTTTCGGCCAAATCGTGCATGATAATGTCCACTTAGTGCAGAAATTAAGTTAGGTAGCGTAGCCTAGCCTACGGATGATCCGATTTTGGATAAGCATGTCATCTAGTAAAAATGTGGGCCTTCGTTACGCATTGGCCATGCTACATTTACACCACAGATTGCCAGCATTTAAAGATTAAAGGGAAGTCTATCGGTTATCGATATGCCGTATTCAATTTCGGATACAGTCGTCGAAATGTAAGAACTTATTATAGTAGCTATTCAAGCACGAAAACAGACGTTTCGTCACATTGATATGTAGCCGAATATATACTGCTATTCTGCTATTCCTCAATGAGGTCTATATCATTTCCAAGTATCACTTACTTTAGCTGGGCTTTTGTTTTTGATGGTGATCTGGCATTGCTTTTTGCAGTAACTGATGTCGCCTAGTTGGTTGTCAAATAGATCAGAAGACGCAGCCGCCAGCCCCGCCAGAAGCAGCCAGATGACAGCGGAGACACTGCACACCCTGCCGCCGAACTGAAGCATTTCAAAGCCGGATTTGATCACCACAGTCTAGACGAGCACTGAGGCTTTTAGTGGGCTCTGGGCTTCTCTGATGGATGTTGCTTCAACCCGATTGCTATCTGCTTCGGTAATCTTGTGCTATGGTTTCGTGGTGTCGTCACTCCAAACATCATCACGCACACGCTGCTGCGCGCCCCCTCTCTGTGCGGTCTTCACTCCACACAGTGCAAATTCACTGAGGTGCATAGGCCTACAAACTAAGCATTAATAAAATGTATGATTGAATATCTATATCATGGGGTAAAAGAGGCATTATTTGCACTAAGTTATATTCTATCAATTATTTAACCAGTATGTAAGATAATGCCTATATTTATGCATAAAGATGCCTTCCCCTATTCACAAGGCATCTGTAAATAGGAGGAGATTGAATTATTGCAATAATGAGTCTAATGAGATGCAAGAGAGTAAATAATTAAGTATACAAATAAGACTAATACAGAGACCACACCTGATGGCACAATGCAGCTTATGAGGCATGCCAACTATTGACCCACAGTCTTTTATGCTATAGCCTGAACAATTATTATATTATAGGCCTATAATATACAGTGCATTCGGAAAGTATTCATACCCATTCACTTTTTTTCACATTTTGTTATGTTACAGTCTTCTAAAATTGATTAAATTGGGTTTTTCCTCATCAATCTACCCACAATACCCCATAATGACAAAGGAAAAACAGGTTTTTAGAAATGTTTGCAAATGTATTACAAATAAGAAACTGAAATGTCACATTTACATAAGTATTCAGACCCTATACTCTGTACTTTGTTGAAGCACCTTTGGCAGCAATTGCAGCCTCAAGTCTGCTTGGGTATGACGCTACAAGCTTGGCACATCTGTATTTGGGGAGTTTCTCCCATTCTTCTCTGCAGATCCTCTCAAGCTCTGTCAGGTTGGATGGGGAGCGTCGCTGCACAGCTATTTTCAGGTCTCTCCAGAGATGTTAGATCGGGTTCAAGTCCGGGCCACTCAAGAACATTCAGAGACTTGTCCCGAAGCCACTCCTGCGTAGGCTTGGCTGTGTGCTTAGGGTCGTTGTCCTGTTGGAAGGTAAACCTTCTCCCCAGTCTGAGGTCCTGAGCAGGTTTTCATCAAGGATCTCTCTGTACTTTGCTCCGTTCATCCTTTCCTTGATCCTGACTAGTCTCCCAGTCCCTGCCGCTGAAAAACATCCCCACAGCATGATGCTGCCACCACCATGCTTCACCATAGGGATGGTGCCAGGTTTCCTCCAGATGTGACGCTTGGCATTCAGGCAAAATAGTTCAATCTTGGTTTCATCAGACCAGATAATCTTGTTTCTCCTGTGTTGGAGCTCTACGGACAATTCCTTCGACCTCATGGCTTGGTTTTTGCTCTCATATGCACTGTCAACTGTTGGACCTTATATAGACAGGTGTGTGCATTTCCAAATCATGTCCAATCAATTAAATTTACCACAGGTGGACTCCAATCAAGTTGTAGAAACATCTCAAGGATGCTCAATGGAAATAGGATGCACCTGAGCTCAATTTCGAGTCTCATAGCAAAGGAATACTTATGTAAATAAGGTATTTCTGTTTTTTATTTTTAATACATTTGCAAAAATGTTAATAAAAACCTGTTTTCGCTCTGTCATTATGGGGTATTGTGTGTAGATTGATAAGGAACATTTTAATTTAATCCATTTTAGGATACGTCTGTAACATAACAAAATGTGGAAAAAGTCAAGAGGTCTGAATACTTTCCGAATGCACTGCATATGTAAAAACTATAGCCTACTGTAATAAAACCCTTACAATTAAATGCAACTCTTTACCCTTTTGTCATGTGAACAGTGAACAAAATACTTTTGCACCACATTTAACTCTGCTTTTATAAACATAAAAATAGCCTATTTAGTATATTATTCTAATGAGTGCTTTGGATAGGATGGATCCTGTACAGTGTAAGAATGTGCCATGTAACCTGTATAAATTAATATTTGCTTTTGAGTATAGGGACTTAAGAGAACTTTAATCACCTTTCCCTATACACCCCATGCTGTGTTATATTGAATAAAATCACCTGCCTAGCCTAACAATGAAATAAACCTAATCATAAAATCGATGGGGGTGTACTAGAATAGAATAAAATAGAACAAATAATACAAAATGGGCTATTGAAAGGTTTTGTCTTTTCTTTTTGGGGGTAATGGATATGACAAAATGAAGAGCAATAATGACTTGAGACTGTGTGGGAAGACAAGGGAGGGGCTTATAAAGTATCAACTTGAATATTTTAGCTATTGAGGCGTGCACCAATGCAAACCCTCACTAAACTAAAGGCAAACCTTAAGATACTTTCATACAACCACAGTTTATCAGCTCATCCGCATTTACATACGGAGCTCCGACGTTCGATCCAAACGTAGTTCCTTCGTTAGAATCAGACTGTTGATTCAGCGTTGTTGGAGAGCTGGGTTTCAATTCCTGCGTTTTCTCCCTTAAGACTGTGGTTTTAACCCACACGTCTTTGAGCCAGAACGTGAGGGAAAGAAAGGACAAGAGAGCGAAAGAACAAGAAAAAGGAAAAAAGGCTATCTGAAACATGATCTCCATGTTGTGTCTCATGCTGTTTGTTCCACGTGTGTTCTCTTCATCGACACGTAAGTACAAAACTCTGAAGTGTGATATTGTGAGAAGCCAACTACCAAATTTACCATAAACCCGTTCCGGGTAGACTGATTTGAAGGGGAGGGGCGCTCTCCCGGATTAGTCAACAAAAAAAGTTACATCTAATGTACATGTTACAAGTCTCAACAATGTGTTAGATACATTGTATGTACATTGTGTAAAGGCACGAAACACAAGACTCACTGAATCACAGGTGTCCAGACTGTCCACATATGTACTCGCCAAGTTATAAAATATTTGACCTGTAATTAAGCACGTATATTAATACAATAATGAATGAAGAGATGATGAGTGATATTTGAAGATGTCATACTTCTAGATTTTTTGTCTGTCCAAAATATAGGGCATTGTGGATTTGCAGATACATGGTAACTAATTGGTAATAACTACTTAGGCTATGTCTAATGCAACAAGTCTGCAAAAACGTGTGCAAAGGAGATTATAGCATTGTACATCTTTGTGCATGAGTAAATGTAAACTATTTTCCATTGATATTTCACATATTGAAACCAATAGGCTACTCTGTGACAATCTTCACAGACAAAGTGAATGCCTGTTGAATCATTTTTATTTTATATAGACACTTTTATTAATTTGTAATGCATTATTGGACTTCTAGCACCGAAATAACAGAGAAATGGGCCACAAAGGTTTTCAAGTTCAACATTTCAAGTTCATTTGAAATTCCTAATTTTCAATGTTGCTGTGAAACAATTTACCCTATTTGTGTAGCTATACATCATGTGGAAATATCAGTGCACACACTGAATTCGGAACAATTTGTCTCACACCAAGTCCTCTTTAGCCCGGTCAGACTCATCGTGAGCAGCATATCGGCACATATGTTAGATAGCTTGTCCACCGCCCACCAAGAGCACACTTAATAAACCTCCTTACACTAACCCTTGAATCTCCTCCAAAGGAACCAAGTGGTAACATACATTTCAAACAGTAACGCTCAGGGCATTTCTCATGAAGCATTAATCATAAGATAAAAGTCCAAAGAGTAAAGGATTAGTGGGGATGGAAAAGCATTCAAGAATTTGACCAATAACCTTGTCTGAGCTCTCCAAGTGATCTCCCAACAGTTTCAGCCCAGGACCCACCCATAAATCCACTTCATTACTCTCAGGTCATAAATATCGCCGGCTCTTCTCCGAATTGGAGTGTTTGCACTCAAAAAGAGAGCAAAGGTTGCTTATGATTCATTATTTATTCACTCTGAACAGGCATGAGATCAATAACAAACCTTTTCAAGCAAATCAAATCAAAGTTGATGGCCATACGTGTTAAGCCATCATCACGTCTAGGAGTGCAGCCCATATAAAGTAAAGTGTCTCTGTGTGTTTCCCCCCCAGAGGTGGCTGTAATCTTCCCCCAGGACCCAGCATTGTGGATGGGCTCCAGCCTGACGGCCACGTGCACAGTGAGCCCCGAGCGGGGGCTGCATGCCAACACTATGTACTGGACCCTTAACGGGAAGAGACTCCCAAGTAGCACCTACGGCCTGCTGAGCCCCAACGGCCTCAGTGTCACCCTCCACCGCCTCAACGGCTCCCAGCAGCAGTCTGGGGACAACCTGGTGTGTCACAGCGGAGATGGACATGTCCTGGCTGGGTCCTGTCTGTACGTGGGCAGTAAGTGTCAGACTGGGCCTGTAGGCCTCAACCACTTAAATTTTTCAGTACATTTAATCCACATCAACATGATCCTTTGTTGCTTTAAATTATATTCCCCTCCAGATTTAGTCCCTCCTTAAATTTGGGTGAAAATGACACATCTGAACCAATTCTCTGATGTTCTGAGAAACTGTGTTATGATGCTTCATGGTGCATTAAAATGGGTGTGCTCAAAAGGACAGTGCTGTGGGGTAACAAGGAGATATTGGCAAATGCATTTGTTTGTTTGCATCAATACTGTCTGAGTAAGCAGCTCAGGGCTTTGCATTTACAAAGAGATTATTGTTATTTTTTTGCCTTTTTGATGATAAGCTGTGTGTTTGCTATGATTTTAAGGAAACACGGAACACTCCGATTGGCACGTGTTTTTCTGTTGCTCATTAGGAAAACAAGATTTCAGTCTTGGAGGTGTGTTTTCTGACCGATTCCGCGTTCGGTTAATGATGTTTGTCCCCCATGAGACACTGTAAGCCTATTTCACCTTCTCAAAATCCCTGGAATTAATCTAAGATAACTCAAGAAATCTGTAATTAATTTTGACGTTTTTGCCGAATATGTTTTAGTTGCGCAATTTTACATCTAACTAAAATGTTTGGTGCAGTATTTCTCAAGTTAAAAAATGTGCGACGTGTTGTTTTATGTAAACAAAGTCGGCCTGCTGGGCAGGTCTGTCTCACTGTCTATGCTATTGGATAGAGAGAAAACACTGCATCTGTTCACCCCATGTTAGAGGGCAAATGTACATCGTCACATCAAAACCCAACCTTCATTTACCCATTGTGACGCACAGATGCTCCAAACTCCGTTTTAGACGAGACAAAATGATCCTATTTACACTTTGTACTCAATTTTGACACTAGAATAACTATTTCTGACTCATATCGATGCCACATAGGCCGTTTTCAAGGCAGTCGCTCTTTAAAGCCTGTTATATTACCACACTCTAATCTGTAGTGTCTCCCAGCACTGGCTTAAGTACATTATACATTACAGGTAATGTTTCACTCATCCAGAAATATTTGCAAACAAACAACAGAGCCCATTTCAAAATAAGTTATTTTATTAAAATCATAATGTACAGAGCCTACTCTGTCTGTCTTTCAATCATACCCCCAAAGCCTCAGTTTAGCTGCTCAGTAGGTTGTAATCAGCACCACTACTTTGCTTCTCTCTCTCTACATCTGTGTTTGATAGTCTATCATTGAGAGGAAATGAGACAGGCAGCTAAATCCTCTAGCCTGTTGTCTGAGGTTAAGTAATGTGCCAGTGCAGGGGTGTCAAACATACGGTCCACATGCCGGATCCGGGCCGCAAAATAATAAAATAATAAAATAATAATCAATAAATAAAATATACAATTCGTATTTTTATTTATTATAAATATTTTTTGGGGTCGGAGGAAACAAACTCGATATACTTTAAAATGACTAAAACCAAATCGAAACTCCGTAGAAATTCATACAGTTTCTTGACCGTGTCCAGCTCACTAATAATCACCGAAATGAAAGCTATACAGTCAGGGAGCTTCAAAATGTTTTGCTAATTGAATGGCGAGGAAATATAACCAATTTTCAGTGCAGCCCTCCGGACCTCGTTGATGACCGAATGTGCCCCCCAGGGCAAAATGAGTTTGACACCCCTGTGCCAGTGTGTCATTATGGGATTGAGTGACCATTTATACCTGTTGTGATAGGAACTACTATAGTGATGTATTTGTTGTGGTTCAAACCACTTTGTTTAATGCATACTAGGGATTATGAGTGACAATGCATGCTTTGTATGATAAACAACCACTGTGATTAGCTACTGAGAGAACCATGTCTTTTCACTGTTAATGTGCAGTGCCCCCGGAGAAGCCAGTCAACCTAACCTGCTGGTCCCGAAATACAAAGGACCTGAGCTGCAAGTGGACCCCCGGGGGTCGGGGTGAAACCTTCATCAAAACCAAATACACCCTCAAGTACAAATTGAGGTGAGCGCCACAGATCTCCAGCATCTCCCAGGTGATCACCCAACCCACCATAATTTCTGCCTAGAAACAATGATAGATGCATCACCTGGAACACAATTACTTTATTTTACTCACTAGAGGCCTATGTCATTATGGTGATGCATTTCAAAGACTGCAATACTGGCTTTTTGTACTGCAGCTAGCTGTGTAATGGACTTTCATTTGACTCGTAATGCCACTTGTACTGTTAACATTTCATGGTCCAGAGCACACTGAAAATGTTACGCTTTACTAGCTGTTGGCAGTACATTATATTGACAATTTTAGTACAGATATGATTGACTTCACGTTGCTGTGTGTTCTTTGCAGGTGGTACGGGCAAGAGAGGGAATGTGAGGAATACAGCACGGGGCAACGCTACACGTGTTACATCCCTCGGGACTTGGCCCTCTTTACTCCCTACGAGATCTGGGTGGAGGCGTCCAATCAGCTGGGGACTTCCACCTCTGATGTCATCACTCTGGATATCCTGGATGTGGGTAAGTGGAGTGAGCCTTTGGCCCAGTCTCCCTCCTGCTCCCCAGCCCGCCACATCCCGCCCTCACCAGAGTGGGCAGGGCATGAAAGTGTCCCGTCAACATAGTGACAAGAGGTAGCGGGATGGATGCTTCCGCTCCCCCATGTTACATGAGTCCTTCATGAGCTCAGCCGTTCCTTTTTCTCTCCTCCTCCCTCACTTCACTCACCGCCAGATCTCCTGCATATGGCTAACACACTTTCATGTGAGAAAGGAATTTTATGTGTTCTGAATTCATCCCTATAACAATATAATCGATTCTGGCTGTGATTATCAAAGATACACTGACCTGTCGTAAAAGTTCACTGAACACCAGACGTATGGCAAAAGTGATAAACAAATGATGATGGATAGATAAGGTTGAGGACACAAAACGAAATATCACTTGTTAATTCCAACAACATTTAGCTTGGCTTTGTACATTTTGGTCTTGTATTGCAATGTTCCAATAATGATCATAAGCCATATGTTGCAGTGTTGTATAGCCTGAGGATTAAGGCGTGTCCCTGTGGGTAGAAAGAAAACAGTAAGCAATTGACCTTTGTGTTGCTTTGTTACATCCCTACTGTACCTGACACATCTAGAGACCACAGGTAGGTTGGTCAGAAGAGAGAGGATTCCTATAACATGCGTCACTAACCTCTTGTTTCTTCACCCTCTCCACAACGGAAACAAGCTGTGGAATTTTTCTGTGGAATCTTCCTTGATGTTCTGCTCCCCCGGGGGTGAACCTGGTCAAACCAATAAAGTGTATCAGTAAACAAACAACAAGGCAAACCTAAAATGAAGGGGGCTATAGACTTATAGAAAATCACAAATGGGCTGCTGACATTTTTATATGATTCGCTCTCTTTCTCTCTCTCCCTCTCTCTCCTCCCCCTCTTTCCCTCTATCAGCGGCATCAAAGTACTTTACTTCGTTGAGAGCCTTATTGCGGAGGGAAAACATGTTTTTTTAATGCTGGAGCAAGGGACAAAAGTACTGTGTGCATAAATCATCAGACTGGGGAGAGAAGGCAGAAACAGACACTGACCTGATTACCCTGCTTCCATAACTACACTCATTAAAAGGACTGGGAGAGGGAGAGAAAGAGAAGGCAAGAGAGACAAGAAGAGAGGGGGCAGGGGGAGAGAGAGAAGGAGAGTGAGGAGTAGAAGGAGAGAAAGAAAGGGAGGGAGAGAGAAAGAAAGAGAGAGAGAATGATACTGGGAGTGAGCGAGGATCAGATGTGGTGGATAGACTGAAATAAAGTGAACTTAAGGAGAGAAGCAAAGTGTTCTGTCAGAGTACATGAGGGAGACAGTGTTGGTGCTGGACAACAGTACAGCCCAGCCCAGCCCTGACATTGAACATTCATCAGCATGTTTTATTCAAGCATGGTGGTTGTGGTGTCTAGAAATAGCTGTAGTGTCTTTACAGTGTGGTACAATATTTACCAGGTTTCTCAGAGGGGAGAGTGCTTTCAGGTACACTCTGTTGGGGCCATCCAAAGGATGCTGATCAGTCCTCTACTTGTTTGGTCAGAAATACAGAACATAATGTACTGCAAAACCTTAAACAACAAAGATAACATTTTCAATGCACAGGATCTTAGTGCTCATGAAGCAGTGCTGAGAGTGTGATATACTCTATGTACTGAATTTTGTACTGAGTTTTGTGTTCCGTAGTCTTGGCACATAACTACACAGCTTTGTGACTAACCTGTGTCTACTTCCCTGTTGTTTCAGTGACTACAGACCCTCCAGACAACGTCCATGTGAGTCGTGTGGGGGAGCTTGAGGACCAGCTGACAGTGCGTTGGGGCAGCCCCCCGGCACTTAAAGACTTCCTCTTCCAGGCCAAATACCAGATACGCTACCGACTGGAAGACAGCACTGAATGGAAGGTAGAGTAGTACTTTATTTCAACATTCAGACACAGTTATCTCTCTATTGCTATCTATTCTCTCTCTCTGTCTCTATAATACAGTGCACCATCTATGGCATCTTTTATCTGTGTAAATATTTGAGATGCATGAGTGTCAGGAACTCTCAAGGGACTATAGAGCTTTATTTTGTCTGTCAAGCCAAGCTTGTGCATGCTTGTTTGTGGGTTCTGTTTCCACTGAAACACAAAAGTGTTATGTGTGAAAAATCTGATTTCTACTACCTAACATGTGTTGTTGTTAATAGCTTCACTGTGAGCATGTTTTTACAGTTGAAGTCTGAAGTTTACATACACTTAGGTTGGAGTCATTAAAACCCTTTTTTCAACCACTCCACAATTTTCTTGTTAACAAACTATAATTTTAGCAAGTTGGTTAGGACATCTACTTTGTGCATGACACAAGTAATTTTTCCAACAATTGTTTACAGAGATTATTTCACTTATAATTCACTGTATCACAATTCCAGTGGGTCAGAAGTTTACTTACACTAAGTTGACTGTGCCTTTAAACAGCTTGGAAAATTCCAGAAAATTATGTCATGGCTTTAGAAGCTTCTGATAGGCTAATTGACATCATTTGAGTCAATTGGAGGTGTACCTGTGGATGTATTTCAAGGCCTACCTTCAAACTCAGTGCTCGTTTGCTTGACATCATGGGAAAATCAAAAGAAATCAACCAAGACCTCAGAAAAAAAATTGTAGACCTCCAGAAGTCTGGTTCATCCTTGGGAGCAATTTCCAAACGCCTGAAGGTACCACGTTAATCTGTACAAACAATAGTACGCAAGTATAAACACCATGGGACCACGCAGCCGTCATACCGCTCAGGATGGAGACATGTTCTGTCTCCTAGAGATTAACGTACTTTGGTGCAAAAAGTGCAAATCAATCCCAGAACAACAGCAAAGGACAGTTGAAGTCGGAAGTTTACATACACCTTAACCAAATACATTTAAACTCAGTTTTTCACAATTCCTGACATTTAATCCTAGTAAAAATTCCCTGTCTTAGGTCAGTTAGGATCACCACTTTATTTTAAGAACGTGAAATGTCAGAATAATAGTAGAGAGAATGATTTATTTCAGCTTTTATTTCTTTCATCACATTCCCAGTGGGTCAGAAGTTTACATACACTCAGTTAGTATTTGGTAGCATTGCCTTTTAATTGTTTAACTTGGGTCAAATGTTTCGGGTAGACTTCCACAAGCTTCCCACAATAAGTTGGGTGAATTTTGGCCCATTCCTCCTTACAGAGCTGGTGTAACTGAGTCAGGTTTGTAGGCCTCCTTGCTCGCACATGCTTTTTCAGTTCTGCCCACACATTTTCTATAGGATTGAGGTCAGGGCTTTATGATGGCTACTCCAATACCTTAACTTTGTTGTCCTTAAGCCATTTTGGCACAACTTTGGAAGTATGCTTGGGGTCATTGTCCATTTGGAAGACCCATTTGCGACCAAGCTTTAACTTCCTGACTGATGTCTTGAGATGTTACTTCAATCTATCCACATAATTTTCCTTCCTCATGATGCCATCTATTTTGTGAAGTGCACCAGTCCCTCCTGCAGCAAAGCACCCCCACAGCATGATGCTGCCACCCCCGTGCTTCACGGTTGGGATGGTGTTCTCCGGCTTGCAAGCTATCCCCTTTTTCCTCCAAACATAATGATGGTCATTATGGCCAAACAGTTCTATTTTTGTTTCATCAGACCAGAGGACATTTCTCCAAAAAGTACGATCTTTGTCCCCATGTGCAGTTGCAAACCGTAGTCTGGCTTTTTTATGGCGGTTTTGGAGCAGTGGCTTCTTCCATGCTGAGCGGCCTTTCAGGTTATGTTGATATAGGACTCGTTTTACTGTGGATATAGATACTTTTGTACCTGTTTCCTCCAGCATCTTCACAAGGTCCTTTGCTGTTGTTCTGGGATTGATTTGCACTTTTCGCACCAAAGTACGTTCATCTCTAGGAGACAGAACATGTCTCCTTCCTGAGCGGTATGACTTCTGCATGGTCCCATGGTGTTTATACTTGCGTACTATTGTTTGTACAGATGAACGTGGTACCTTCAGGCGTTTGGAAATTGCTCCCAAGGATGAACCAGACTTGTGGAGGTCTACATTTTTTTCTGCGGTCTTGGCTGATTTATTTTGATTTTCCCATGATGTCATGCAAAGAGGCACTGAGTTTGAAGGTAGGCCTTGAAATACATCCACAGGTACACCTCCAATTGACTCAAATGATGTAAATTAGCCTATCAGAAGCTTCTAAAGTCATGACATAATTTTCTGGAATTTTCCAAGCTGTTTAAAGGCACAGTCAACTTAGTGTATGTAAACTTCTGACCCACTGGAATTGTGATACAGTGAATTATAAGTGAAATAATCTGTCTGTAAACAATTGTTGGAAAAATTACTTGTGTCATGCACAAAGTAGATGTCCTAACCGACTTACCAAAACTATAGTTTGTTAACAAGAAATTTGTGGAGTGGTTGAAAAACTAGTTTTAATGACTCAAACCTAAGTGTATGTAAACTTCTGACTTCAACTGTATTTTCTTTGATATTGTGCTCAGTTGGTGGATGATGTAGGTAACCAGACATCGTGCCGGCTAGCAGGGCTAAGGGCAGGGACGGTATACTTTGTCCAGGTGAGGTGTAACCCAGTGGGGATCTATGGCTCCAGGAAGGCTGGGATCTGGAGTGACTGGAGCCATCCTACAGCTGCTTCCACACCCCACAGTGGTGGGTAAAGATTTACATTGCACTTGAAGGGGAAGGATATTATTAGGGCTTATAACGCTGCATTATCATTTAGTTACATCAGACATACAGTATATTCTTGCGGGGGCAATTATGACATTCGTGAGCACTTGTTACATCATCTATTTTCAATGCAATTAATGGGATATTAATAAAATGATCTTCAATAGTGCACACTGAAGATATTATTGTGGGAGATATGTCGTAATCTTTAATACTTCCCAAAGTTTATGTTTTAGATCAAACAGTATTATAGCTCATAAGCCATGGGAAATAAAAACTGCCCTCTAATAATCAACATTTCATTGCCAAATAAACCAAAAAACAATAACCTCATCCCAGATTAGGCTTCAACATCCTGGGAAAATTAGATCTAAACCGTATGTGACCCCAGAAAGCCAAACATCAAATGACACGATAGAGATCTTTCATCCGAGGATTAAAAGAACTCAAGCTGAAATTGCAAAGAGCTGAGGGGGACATCTGATAGATAGATTTTTCACTTTCGTTAGCCTTGAAAGATTGATCAAGTCAAAATGCAGTCTGTCAGTTGCACACAGGGCATTAACACTGAGTGGAAACAGATTTGGGGAATACAACAGCAGATAATAGGTTACATAGGTTATGTGGTATTTACTTTCAAGGGGAAGGAAGTTGTTATCAGGCTCTGTTGTTTGCCATTGAGTATTGGTTGTGGCAGGCTTTATAATGTTGCCCTCTACACTGGAAGTGCACCAGATTCATTTTGTGAATCCCTTTTTATTGTAGTCATATCAAATCTATTGTAATCAAATCGACTATTCTCAATACTCAGGAGAATGACCTTTCACAATAGCCAGAGCCCAGAGGTCATGCTGAGTTCTTAGCCCTGTGTGAGCCACTGACCAATCTGGTCCCAGCTTGTTTAGTTGTAGGAAGAGACAGTGGGTTCAATTCAATTAAACCTAAATTGAGGTGTTTACGTGATAGCTATTTTTCCCCATGGTCAAACAAAATCACATAATGGCTCCAGGTACTGCAGGTAGTGTGTGGACAGGATGCAGGAACTATCCTCTCTTTCTAACCTTGTCCTTGACCACACTGCTGCCTTCCTTCCTTCCTTTTCCCTGGGCAGAGCCGCTGCAGAGTGGGTCATGTGACCCCAAGTCGGGCGAGCAGAACTCCACCCTGCGACGGGAGCTCAAGCAGTTCTTTGGCTGGGTCCGCAAACACGCCTGCGGCTGCAGCGGCATGTCAATCAAACTCTATGACCAGTGGCGGGTGTGGCTGCAGAAATCGCATAAAACGCGCAACCATGTAGGTAAGGAGAATATCCCCTTTATTTCTGTTACAGCTTAGCATAGGCGTCACAGTTATGCACTATGACCATGTACTACTAGGCTACTGTAACTCCTTATCACAACAACACCCTCTGTTGTCAATGTGTTGAACTCTGCATAGACCCCGATTCTCTGACCCCCTTTGTCCTGAATTGTGCTTTTGTGTTTTGCGATGTGGTCAGTGTTTTGGAAGCACACAGAACCATTCCCCTAGAACTGGTTAGACTTTCTGAAGTCTCAGTCTGATGTTTTATGTTCAGGTATGTGTGCGGTTTCCACTTTATTGGCCCAGAGTACAGCATAAAGTTGATATCCGCTCAGTTCTCCAAGTCATGAAATCTCATTTTATTACATATTTTAATGGCATAGACTTATGATCTTCAGTCGATTACCACAACAAAGGGAAATGAGCATGTAAATATAATTAACAACCACTATAATGTGTTCCTTTTGTGTTTTGTCTCTCTGTGACGTGAGGAGCTTGTTTCACAACATAACTGAGCCCAAATGGCAGCCAGGAGGACTGAGCTCACCGCTAAGCCACATCCTCTGTTCGCCCCCTGAACCCAATTGCTGGTTGTTATGCTACTGAGGACAAGGGAACTGCCCAAGTCTTTTATCTCACCTGATTTGTGTGGTGTTCCCTGAATAATGTCTGTGTTTAACTGCTCTGACAGGCTTATATTGATTAACCTCAGAGGAAAAAAGGGGCAGTTTAACTGGCTGTTACCAATACGCAATTGGTGTCAGTATGATAATGAATATGAATTTCAAATCAAATCAAATCAATCAAATCAAATCAAATTTTATTGGTCACATGCGCCGAATACAACAGGTGCAGACATTACAGTGAAATGCTTACTTACAGCCCTTAACCAACAGTGCATTTATTTTAAACAAAAAAGTAAGAATAAAACAACAACAAAAAAGTGTTGAGAAAAAAAGAGCAGAAGTAAAAATAAAGTGACAGAATTTCCGTCCTTTGTCTATTTCATTATCCCAATATTAAACATCTGTTTTCCCTTTCAGATTCTACAAGGCGATAAAACATCCTAAACATCATTGAAGTATTTACACAACAACATTCAAAACAGCAACTGAGAAACTGGCTTAGAAGGCCACTTTGAGGCCTCTGGGTGAAAGCCATCCAACACTCTGGATATTCCAGCATTTGGTCACACACACCAACTTTTATTTGTAGGAATCCATATGGAACAGAAAAAGAACTGATGCGAGACGCCAGCGTTACACTACTGTCTGCAGCCCAGGATTAAAATAGAGTGGAATCCCTCTTTGCTCAGATACCGATACCTACAGTATCTCTGAGAACTACTCCTCTCTATCCCCTCTTCCCACACACACACATCTCCGGGGAGTGGCGAAGAGGAGAGCCTTTCTCTGATCGCTGAGTATGGAAACGTTTCTTAATGTAGCATTAGTACGTGTTCGACTCAGATGGACATAAATCATCTTACTGACTACGATCAGATCAGACATGTAATGGCCACCATCACAGGCTTTTACCACAGACACAAGGGCATTACGCAATCCTCCTGGAATGTCATATACAGTACAAAGAACTTCACTTATTCAGCTCCTGTTCCGGAAACTCAATCACAGAACATTTGTTAGAATTCTAGATGAAAGTACTTTCAGAATGTATTTCCATTCTAACCACTTTAATAGCCAAACAGTTGTCTAAGCTATGTGTCAATGCAATTTAATTGTATAGGCCTTTTACTGGCAAAAACATGGTTGGTATGCTAGCAAATGCTAATACACAATTTTGTGGATTGGCTTTGTTGCATTCATAGCAATTTAACTTTTGGATTGAAGTCAGGTTTGTGGGTCACCATGACCAAAGCCCATTCTGCAGTTTGTTGCTAATATGGAAGTGTTCTCTTGTCCTGAGGGTTTGCACCACTCTGGATTCCTCCTATTGAAATTAAGTGGCATAATGTTTAACTGTATATACTGTGTCTGAGTGACTGTGCGGATGAAGACATTTTTATATTTTTGTATCTGCATATTTAAGAGATCCTAAGTAATATTTCTCTCATTAAGTTATGTTCAATTATCAATAATAATTATGAAAATGTCAAATAATTTGCCAGTTTTTGTCTATAAAACAATAAAGGAATGACATTTGCCTTGGAATGTTTTTTATTAAAATTCAGATCAATTGTTAGATTATTGAAGTATATTTAAGGCAATATTTGTTTCCTTCAAAATATTTACAAGACAGGACAAGAGCAAATATTGCTTTTTTGCTAAGGCCACACAGGCGCACACACACAGAGACACGCAGGGTACGGAATGACCCTGGGCCGCAAGAAACTGCAGCAGTCAGGTGGCGCAAGGGAGGGATCAATAACTTAGGCAAATGAATACAAAGAGGAAAGTTGCAGCAGAGGAGTCCATCAATCCCTGTCTGGGCAGCAGCCTCCAGGGAGTCCCCATCACGCAGACTCCTCCGAGTCGTATTTAAAGTCCTGCAGGATCTCACTCAGGGCCTCTATATTCTTTATGATGCTGCAGGAGGGGAGACAGAGGTATAAGAGGATTGAGTGCATTCCTGTGAGTAGTCTGCATGCAAACAGCAGGTAGGCCTAATGAAAAACGAAATCAGTGATCGGACATGACAATGGAGCAGCTTAACGAGACACTGAGCCGCTTCTGCAGCTACAACACTCAGTTTTGGAGTCAGCACATTGAGGGATTGGGTGGGTCAATGGGGAGATAAAGTGCTGACAGGAGGAGTGAAATCTGCTCTTACTCCTGCTTGATCTCCTGGATCTTCTCCTGACAGCCCTCATCTTCTGGGTGATCCTGAGCGTTCTGCTTTGCCAGCTGCAGCTTGGCCGTCTGTGGACAAGACACATCAGACATGTGCAAACCATTTATCAAACGTTGAGCTGGGGCAATCAAATGTTAATACCAGCCCGAGCCTTGCCCAGAAGAAGGAAAGCCGATGCCAGACATCTGACATTGTGAAAATTGATAGCGTGGAAATGAAAGCCATTATTTAAATCTTGTTAAATTCTCCTGTTTACTGCCTGAGATTCTGCGCTTCACATTACAATTGTGCATTACGATGTCAGATCCTTAAAAGTTTTCTCTACTATTTGAGACATTTGTTGCATGTTACCTTCTCTCGATTGATAACAAGAACAATGTCTGACCCTATGAGTCTCTAAATTACCTAGTCATGTTCAATCCCTGAACAATGAAGTAGAAAATACAGGATATTTGTTACATTCTCAGAGGACAAACCTGACCCCTTGTGGCTGACTGAAAGAAGTCTTATAATGAACCTTGGAGGTCATGCACTATAGAAGGGTGGGTTGTTCAGCAACAAAACCAATGCGTGCACAACCATGTACAAAAACAGGTGTGGTTGGCTTAGAATCAACGGATTGTTGACAACAGGTAACTGCCAAAATAAAGGAAACGATTAGGAAATCGAGGTATATTGAAAGCAGGTGCTTCCACACAGGTGTGGTTCCTGAGTTAATAAAGCATTTAACATCCCATCATGCTTAGGGTCATGTATAAAAATGCCCAGCAGCCCATTATTTTGGCTACCATGGCTAGAAGAAAAGATCTGACTTTGAAAGAGGTCTCAAAGGCGAATAGGGGGTTTAAAGTGTGTGTGTGTCTCAGTCACCAGATCGCAACCCAATTGAACACTTGCAATGAGCAACATTTCCTGTATGACCTGGGGTTGTATGATTGGGAGGGTGTGTGCTCTCTCTCTGATCCTTAAAATGTTTTACCTCTTTAACTCTGTTGCAGATAAGCATGCCCCATATAAGAGATTAAAGGTAAAGGACAGATCTAACCCATGCATAAATTGTCTGAAAGATTTCATGAAAGAAAATTAGCTTGGGTTTAGGCTGGATTGACTGATTCTACCTCTGACTGGCAGTCCTTCAGACATTTGAGAAATAGATGTCTTACTCTGGTTAGAAAAGCAAAGTCAACATACTTCTTGAATTGTGTATCAGAGTGGTGGAAATCCAGCTAAATTCTGGAAAGTGGTAAAATCTTTGGAGAAAAAAAACACCACCCCCTCATTGCCCCAGCAGGTTATGACAGCCTCTGGTCCCATAAGAGACAAAAATGACACTGTTGGTGCTTTTAATAACCATTTTGCCTCCGCTGGCCATCTATTTTACAGAATGGTTTCTGAAAATACCTCAAGTTCCACTAGAGGGAGTCCTTTATTCACCTCTAAACATAGCAGAGAATGATGCACTTCCAGGCCCTCGCTCTTTCTTTCATTTGAACCATTTCATGTCAATGATGTATTAAGTGCCTTGCAAAACATTTATGTCAACAACAAAAAATACACACAGGTTGATTCACTTGGTCCCTTTCTACTGTAGCTTTCTGCCCCCCTCATTTTAGAACCTTTGACCCACATTTTAATTTAACAACTGCTTCTGGTGCTATCCCTAAGATCTGGAAGGCAGCACATGCCCTCCCCCTTGGTGGAGATCCTGACCTAGATAACTACTGCCCAATTTCTAAACTATCTTGCCTTGCAAAAATGTTAGAATCACTGGCAAACTCTCAAGTACCTGACTAATCTGCCTTTGCCATTGATACCATTGGCCAATTTACAATTGCTTGATAATAAAGTGGATGAACTACAGGCACAAATATCCTACCAACGGGACATTAAAAACGAATATCTTACGTTTCACAGAGTCGTGGCTGAACGAAGACATGAATAACATACAGCTGGCGGCTTATATACTGTATCGGCAGGATAGAACGGCAGCCTCTGGTAAGACAATGGGTGGCGGTCTATGTATATTTGTAAACAACAGCTGGTGCACGATATCTAAGGAAGTCTTGAGGTTTTGCTCGCCTGAGGTAGAGTATCTCATGATAAACTGTAGACCACACTATCTACCAAGAGAGTTTTCATCTATATTCTTCGTAGCTGTCTATTTACCACCACAAACCGATGCT